TCCCGCAGGATGGGGAGCGCTCTCAGCCGTGCTGCTCACTCGCCTTCAGTAAGCCTCGCGCCTGGGCTCCTGGACCGCATTCCGGAGCCGGACTCGGCCCCTTGCTCCGGGCTCAACCCCCACCACAGGCATTTAGCGGGCTGGTCCGGATCTTCCGGGCCAAGCAGAAAGGGAGGATTTTTTCCTCGCTCCGACTTCAGAGCAGCACCAGCCCCGAACTGCTCAAAGCAAGCGTGGCTGGGCTGCTTACGTGGCTCAGGGGGTAACCCCCTGTGAATGCTCTGGGCGGGCACTGCACCTTCCCCACTGCACAACCGTTCACGACGCTACACAACAGAAGTACACGTACGCCTCGCCCTCCACCATTAAATACTCTGTAAAGCAGGGCTTTAAAACGTGTATTTACAACTTAGATATTCAAAGTTTTCTTCACTGCGAAGATGATATCCTTCACCTGAGGTATGCAGTTATCTTCCAGAATCTTGGCGTAAGGCATAGGGACGTCTGCGCCGGTGACACGCACGGCCGGAGCGTCCAGGTAGTTGAAGGCAGACCCTGAAACGGGAGGCAGCGGTCAGGTTGCCACGCACAACGGTTTTCTCTCTGTTTCTATTTAAACAGTTTTGCTCCTGCAGCTCTAACATCCCTGCTGTTCTGCTCCCTCCTCGTCACGTGCTACGGTTCACACATAAAGCTTTCATCCTGCTTCCCACGCAGGCGGGTTCCCGGGATAAGAATTACTTCCCACGGAAGATGAGCAGGACCTGCCCTGTGGCAGTCTCCAGAGCAAGACAGGCTGGGGTTCCTCGGACAGAAACCCCTAACGGAGTCGTCGGGGTTTGGGCTAGGGAAGGAGATCAACACATAGACTGCAGAACTCGGTACCTTCCATGATCCTGGCACAGATTTCCGCTCCCACGCCGAACTGCGGCCACCCTCCTTCCACAGTCACGAGATGGTTTGTCTTCACAACGCTGGCTTCCACCGTCTCCACATCCATCGGCCGGATGCTACGCAGATTTATAACCTGCAAAAAAGGGACCGGGGGAGTGTTGCTGCGCCCTAAGCCTGCCGGGTACCGCCGTCGGGGTGCAGCGTCCTTCAGCTCTTCCATCCGGTCTGACTTGGAAGACAAGGCTTAGAGACGCTCCCAACTTCTTCTCACAGACTGGGGGGGAACAGTTTCTGGTGGCTCCTGGAGGATCCCAGACAGGTGAGCCTGGCTGTGCGGGGACGCAGCCGTAGTAATGCAGTCACCGTTCTGCTTACTACGCAGCTAGGTCGATCTGAAAGTCGTTAGTAGCTCTGCCGTAACTGTGTGATTAAAAGGCCAAATGCAGAGCTGTGAAACGCACGTGCTGTAACACAGGAGCAGCCTGTAGCTAATGCACGGAAGTTGTGCAGCACGAACAGCCTCTACTTCCTCCCCCAGGTCAGGGCAAGAGACAAGCCTCACCCACCTCACACTCTACACCTTCTTTGGCAAGTACAGCAGCTGCTTCCAGACAGTGTCCAACGGGTCTCGAGTGTGACACTAACGTAACGTGAGTTCCTAGGACAGAAACGAGCGTTAAGAAAGGAAAACCACCACCACCACAGCTTTTCCCTGGAGCTCAGGCTCCTTTCAAGGTAAGGCCAGGATTCTCTTGTGAACTTAAGTTCCCCATGTGGATGTGAAATGCTGAGCCGACACGACAGTTACGTACATGACAGGATAGAGGAACACGCAAACACCTACTACCAGAAAAACTTTTCTGTGCCCCCTGGCAGCCGTACTGGAATGGCAGAAAGGCCGAAGAGGTCCCCACACAGCTCAGTTCCCAAGGAAACCAGCGGCGTTCTCAGCTTACCTTGCCTTTCTACCTTAGCTTTTCCAATCGGGATGACAAAATCCTTCGACTGCGCCTGTTCAGACATTTCAAAGGGAACACCATACAGCAATTCGTTTTCCAGCATCACAACTAGGAAGGAAACAGACTTGGATTAACGTGGACATCTGCAGGCAGAGCGACAGTACTGCAGCAGCCTGGCTCACGATACCAGACCCCACCAGGCAACAAACACTGTTTCAGGGTTTACCAACTTCATTGTTTTAAACGGGGCAGGAAGGGAGAACAGACATTCTTTTCAGTCTGGCGTGCTGGGTATTGCCACGATCTGCCTGTGTTCACCTGGATTGTCATCGCGGATCGACGCCTTCAGCAGGCCTTTGGCATCTTCCGAGCTCCAAGGACTGACAACCTTCAGGCCTGGGCAGTGCCCGTACCAAGCGGCGAAGCACTGCGAGTGCTGCGCCGCGACTCCGGCTGATGCCCCGTTGGGGCCGCGGAAGACGATGGGAACAGCGATGGATCCCGCAGACATGTAACAGGTCTTGGCAGCCGAGTTTATGACCTGATCGATCGCTTGCATGGAGAAGTTGAACGTCATGAATTCACACACTGGTCTCAACCCTGCCTGTTGGATAGGTTACAGTGGGTGTTAGCGTGCTTTTAGGTAGGAACAGTGTAGCTGTTTCATCCGGAAGGAATGCAAATGTACCAACCATAGCGGCACCGACCGCGATTCCCGTGAAGCCCATCTGAAAGAGAAGGACAGCCGGGTAAGCAGCGGGGAGCGGCCGATGAGGGGGCTGCCGGGGAGCGGGCAGGGGCGGCCGTACCTCTGATATCGGGGTGTCGATCACCCGCTTGTCCCCGTACTTCTTCCACAGGCCCCTGGAGATCTGCAGGGCAGGAGAGGGGAGTCAGGCGCGCCTGAGGCCCGTTCCCAGCCCGGTCCCGGCAGCCAC